CTCGGCTCCGCTCGGGCGGGCGGGGCTGCCCGGCAGCCTGAGTCACCGCCAGCCAGGGCTGTGCTGGCACCCGCGCCGCCTGCACCCGCCATTTCCCTCGGCCCCGGGTGCCCACGCGTGTGCCCTGCGCTGTCAGTGACTCCCCGTGACCGGGCTCCGGTGCCCAGTGGTGCTGGGGGACCCGGTCCTGCATCTCATGGCTCTGAGCCGGGTGCAGGGGTGGATCGGCGTGCCTGCGGCGCTGCCACTCATGGCAGCGATGCCTCCGCAGCCCTGGGGGCCCCGGGCGGGGGCTGGGCTGGCAGCAGCACTGCGCCTGCACCTCCTGGACAGAGCCACGGCTGATGCCGGCCCCCTCCAGCAGCCTCTGCCCCTGGGGGAGGGTGCATGCAGCGCTGCCATCGCCTGCGGTTTCGACGCTACTTCCTTTGCGGTGCTTGTGGGCAGGCGGGGGTGGGGGCCATGTACTGCGGGCAGAGACGTGGGCGAAGGGGGAAGGACGCTGCGCTGTGAACCACAAGCACGCTCATGTGCATATGCAAGGGGACCCATGCACACACGCATTTGCAAATACATGGATGCACGTGCCCACCTGTATGCATGCACATGTGCACAGACACACACATGGTTATAGGCTTGCATGCACTCGTGTGCATACACAAGTGTGAACTTGCTCATATTTCCATCTGTATACACGCACATGTGCACAGACACACATGGTCATATGCCCGTACGTGCTTATATGTGCATACCTAAGTGCACGTATGCACGTGCTCACATGCCAACACTCGTGGACCTACACTTGCACACGTGCATCCACACACACGCTCCTAGGCCCCCCCCATCCTTGGGCAGCGCTACATCCAGGGACAGAACAGTGCCCAGGGGAGGGGGAGCAGGCGCTGCCCCCGGTGGCAGGGGAGTCGGGGCCGTGGCGGGCCGGGGAGGCCGCAGGCCCGTCTCAGCCGCCCCTCCCGCCCCAGATCTCGGACATCCAGGTGAGCGGGCAGTCAGAGGACATGACGGCCAAGGAGAAGCTGCTGCTCTGGTCGCAGCGCATGGTGGAGGACTACCAGGGTCTGCGCTGCGACAACTTCACTACCAGCTGGCGCGACGGCCGCCTCTTCAACGCCATCATCCATCGCCACAAGTACGTGCTGGGGCCGGGGCCGCGTGCCCCTTCCCCCCTGCAAGTGACTGCGCCTGCACGGGCTGGGGTCTCTGCACGCGCCACGGGGCCAAGCGTTCTCCATGCCGGCCTGCAGCCAGGGAGGGGCACGTGTCCTGCATGGGGGACCCTGGTGCTTGCAGTCCTGGCCCTTTGCACGTGGCTGCCCCCTCCATGCGTCTCCCCGGTGCTGGCGGTTAGGCTAGCCGCGGTGCACGCCGGGAGCTCGGCCCCACCCAGCCTGGCACGGCGGGCTCCCGACAAGCCCCGGCCCGTCGCCCCGTGATGGGGGGCTGGGCGGCCCGCCGCCCGCGCCTGCGGCCCGCG